AATTTATGACTTTATGAATTGTACAGTTAAATTTCTTCAGTTGGATTGTTCTGTTGTTTTCTATCTAAAGCTTGGGGTTGTTTGTTTGTTTTTTTTGTACAGAAGTGGTTGTTTACATCGATACAAGTCCTTATTTCTGTGAACGTCAGACAGACAACGTGATTGGAGCAGAGGTCTGGCAGGGGGCGGGGCCGGGAGGGTTGGTGTCATGTTACAAAATATTCCTGACAAACAACAAAAATAATAATTAGAGGACTAGTGCAGTGTATTGTAACGAAAGATGGAGAATCAAAGCAAAGTGGAAAAATAAATATCTTCAGGACAGATTTTAACATTTTGAGAAAAAAATCATAATAAACCAGAAAAAAAGTCTTAATTTTTCAGTTTTCATCTCATTGGCACAATTTTATTAAAATATAGTTGTAAATGTCGATATTTTAAGATTAATGTCCTAATTTAGAGAAAAAGTCACATGAGCTAGAGCTTTATGAGGTAAATTGTAATATGAGATAAATTTGTAATTTTACAAACGTCATTATGTTATTTGAAGAGAAATTGTAAATTTATGAGACAAAGTCCCAATATGTTAAGATATGGTTAAACTTTTAGTTGAAGGTTATTTACCTGAAAATATTGAATTTTAAGCAGAAAAGATTAATTTTATTGGAATAAGTCGTACTAGAAAAGAAAGAAATAAAAGTTGTAATTTTATGAGGAAAATCATGATATTTAAAGTTAAAGTTGTTATTTTGCAAGAAATTAAATGATAATTACAATAAATAAATAACATTCTCCTCTGTCTGGTCTTGAGAATGATTTTCCTCATACAATTACAACTTTTCTGTTTGTCTAACTCTTGTAAAAGTAAACATTTTTTAAATCTGTATTATGAATTATAATACGACTTTTTTCTTCAAATTTTATGTTTTTTTTCTCAAAATTATCACTGTTATTGAAATCTTTCTCTTTTCTGTAACGAGGCTCTGACTCTGGCTGGTAGAGATTATAAACATGTTTTATTTAAAGTTAAGTTGCCAATGAGACGTTCAGGTTTTTCCAGTTTTGCAGTTTTTCTGAAAAGTGATGTCGTGATTAAACTGACCAACAACGTGACATGAACGAGAGAAAAAGTACGAACCAGTTTATCTGTAAAATGTAAAAAGTAAATACAGAACAGATTTTTAAGTTCAGCGGCTTAAAGAGTTGATGTTAATGGAAATCGACTTATTGGAAAGTTATTGATTATTCTGAATCTAATTGAAGTTGAAGTGTTCATTCAGGTGAAGTTTGTAAAGTGACTTGAAGTCCAGCTGAAGTGATTGAAAGGTCTGGGTGTGAGTGTGTTCCCGGCTCCTGCAGACCTCTGCTCTCTCTGCTGTTACACTACAGACACTGAAATAAAACCTCTGGACAACAACAACAGCACGGCCTCACGCTCGGCTTCTGTTTGTGTGTCTGACCTCCGTCACTCAGACGTGTTCAGATCCTTCACAGTGTGAACGCACTGCAGCACAGGGAGGACGACCTGCAGCAGAGAGACGGGAGGAGAAAAGACCAGAGTGACCCTCTCTCGTCCTGGGAGACACGGTTCATATGAAGATGCTGATCAGGGCGGATTTAATGGGTAAAAGATGGAACTGTGACATAATGAAGATAATGTCTCACTGAGATTCACAGCTGCACCTGATCCAAACACACCTGTGGAAAACATCCTCAAACCCGACGTGCATGAATTCATTTTTAATGTGTCTGATCCGAACAGAGAGAGAACACAAACACCTGCAGCAGCTGGCTGATCTATCAATTCAACTGATTAATTAACAGGCAGCAGAGGTGGGAGGAGCATGATCATAGTAACAATAATGTGAAATGTGAAGTCATACAAATAATAAATATATAAAAGAATAAAGGAAAAACCTGTGAGTGGAGAGAGGATGACAAAGCTTCATTATAGTTCTCAGTTGGTTTTATCCTTATAATGTTACAGCTATATTTACTGTTCTCTGCAAATTCAGTTTATTTCCAGAGAAAAGGCTGAAAAATAAAACATCAGATTGTCACCATTTCTAGGGTTTTCTGAGTAACTTTAAAATCCTTTAACTTCACAGGCAGATACAACCAGGAGCTCAGATGCTCTTTGCTTTTACCTGCATTTATTTCCTGCACACTCTCCTCAACCACTGAGATCACGTGATTAAAACGTGTTAGTTTTATCCATCCCAACTCGTCATTAGACGGGTTGATGTTGAGTGGAGTCAGTAACAGGAGAAGCCTCACAGCTGTGTTTCTGCTGGATCCTTTGGTCCAAATACATCGCAATATAAGATGGGTTGAAGTGTGTGCGTGAGCAGGGGGTGTGTTTTTTTAATTTCAGCTGATAGGGTCCCTGCATCCCCCCCCCCAAGGACTTTAGACTGGACCGGCGTCCCCCCTGAGAGGAGGACTGGTTTCCATCCCTGATTAGGAGAAGGTTTATATTTAGGGTCAAATTTGGGGGAAGAGTGAAGGTTGGAGCTTCAGGTTAAAGACACACTGACAAACACAGTGTTTGACAGTGACTGCAGTGTGTGTGTGTGTGTGTGTGTGTGCGTGCGTGTGTGTGTGTGTGTGTGTGCGCATATGTGTGTGTGTCTTAGTTTTGGATGAATTTCAGTTCTTATATAACAGAAGCAGAAAGAGACAGTTATCTCCACTTACATAATACATTACACCTGTCAGCTTTACAGTAGGCCTCTGTCAACAGTCTATTATTATATCATTGGGTTATTATCCCCGATGCATCAGTGTGAAGCACCATTTCTCTGGTGCAGCCGGCTGAAGTGGAGCTTATTCTAGTTTTTTAGCTTCCTTAATATTTCTGTTGTCATTATATTTTACGTACTTATTGAGTTTTTCAAAACTAGCTGGAGCCAAAGCTAAAACTACAAATACTTACTGATAGTTTCTTTCCAGTTATCTTTAAATGAATGAATGAATTAAACACGTTGATAAGCTAACATAAGCTCTACATAACTAAATGAATCACAGTAGCATAGCTGCTGAATTTATACAGACCATCTACTGGTTAGCGTGTTAGCGTGATACCCTGTGTAGCCATTAAAGTTCATATTCAAGACTCACAGGGGCCCTGGTTTAAAACGAGGTAGACTAAGCCTATGTGGAAACGTGAAGTCTGTCAAAGATGACGTTGTCAATCAATCAGTGTTAGCTTATTTAGCTAGCTAGCTAGTACAACAGATAAAATGAGGAGCTGCTTTTGTTTATTTCGGTCTGACCTATTGTTTCTAAACTTCCTCAGGATGTTGATGATAAATCAGCTGTTGTCAAACCTGTAAACTGTGTGGAACAATCCAGAATGTAAAGATTGACAGGCGTAGCAACAGTTACTAAGGGGGTGTGGCTTAGCTAACTCAGTTGATAAAAATCTCTAACTTCAGCCTGCCATCAACGACAACAGAAGCTGTAGCTCTCTGGTTGGATGCTCCTTGCAGCAGTGCCTTCTGGGACTTGTAATGACTTTTTTCTTACTTCTTACAGACAGTTTTGTCAGTAGTTTGTCAAAAAAAAAACATTTTCACCAAGGATAGGAAAACATTTACATAAAAAGTGAGACGTAAGAGAAAAGAAAATCCACGTGTCAAAAAGTTGACTTCCTAAGACAAAGTTGAGATGCTGCATCAAAACATTGACCTTTTGACTTTTTGACATCAGCGATCTGAGTGAGGACACGTGGACGGGACTGACACAGCAGGAGATGTGGACAGCTGATACGTTAGTGACAGAGTGAAGCAGCAGGTGAGTGAGTCTAAAGTGTGGGCCAAGCATGGCAGTGCTGACATGGCTGAGCCTGAGCCAACACACTCACTGTGACACGTCCACATATTTTGCTGCACATGAATAGATATGTACATGTATGTATTTCACATGCGCACAGTCACACTGCACACAGGAATTACATGCAAACTTTGTGTGACTATGGACATGTGCTGCTGTTACTAATAACATTATTACAAGTTATTGGATGGATATTGGTTGTTGGAGGTTTCTCCTCTCGACTGTCACCAGCTGCTGCTCATTGTGGGAACTGTTGAGTTTCTCTCTATAATATTGTGAGGTCTTGACCTGACTCTGTGCCTGCCTTGAGATAATGTTTATTGTGATTTGATGCTATACAAGTGAAATAAAATTGAATTGAATTGAATTGAATGTGTTGGCTCAGCCTCAGCCATGCCAGCACTGTCATGGTGGGCCCCCAGTTTAAACTTAGACGGAACTCATCGACTCCGGTGGTCTTCTCCATAGGAGCGAACGCCGAGGAGCATGGGTACTGTAGTGTTTAGACATATTCCACAAACCAAACAGAAGGGAAGGTCCCGCCCGTCCCGTCTCTCTCCTGCATCTCGCCGCTCTCTACCTGACATTTTTTATAAACATGAAGACATCCTCAGAAAGTAAATATCAAAAACATGCTCCATGTTCCAAAGTGTCTCTCTTTGCCTCTGTCAGTGGTTGGCAGAGCTGTTCCAACATGTTAGTGTTTGGAAGTCTATCTTTGTGAGGACCATTTCAGTTTTAGATCTTGGCTTCGCTTTACAAAAATCTTCTCACTTTCTGGGTATGAGAACAATTTTGGCAAAGAGACACTTTGGAAAATGGAGACATATTCGTAATTCATTTACTGAAAATGTCCTTACCTTCCAAAGACATCTTCAAGTTTATAAAAAATGTCAATAACGTTTCACTTTCCTAAAATCTCCTGACTTTCCGAGTGTGAGGACAGTTTTTTGAAGATGGTCCTCACAAAGATAGATTTACAAACACACATGTTGGATGGTTGAACAGCTCTGCCAACCACTGACACAGATTCAACCACTCATACTGTAAACACACAACCCACCCCCAACACACACACACACACACACACACAGACCCCCAACACACACACACACACACATATTTGGATCACCCCCTCCCCCCTCCCCCACTGTGAAGCCTTTAAATAGAGCTCCACTCCGGCTCTTCGGCCTCGGTGATCGCATCCCCGCCGCCGGCAACTCATCTTCACAGGTTCTTCTCGAGTCCTAAAACCAAGGTAAATATCAACACACACACACACACACACACACACACACACATACAAATTTAATTTTGTGTCATTTTAACTTTTCATGTCACTTTGACTTTTAATGTGACTATAAAATGAATCCAAAAACAAACCCAGAATCTGCCAGAAACGACTTCTACTGTCTCGTCAGTTGCTCTGTGAGCAGCTCGCTTCCTGTTCAGTGATGTTAGTCTTCATGAAAACTGCAGGTCATGTGCATGTGTCGTCCTGCAGCAGGACATGTGCTGCAGTGACATGTTGGACGGCTGCAGACAGCTGCAGACAGCCGGACGCACTGAGCCGCGTCCTCACATGGACACATGCTGATTGTTCTGTGGTTTAAATTTATGTTAATAAGATTTAAAATGAGAAATCACTGTGAAGCCTGTGGTTTTGAATCAGACGTGAAATTCAAAGCCATGAAAGTTTTATAGACGTGAGTTCGACATCAGGTTCAAACTAACACAAGGAAACTGTAAAGTACCTAAAGTGCAAATCTAAAGACTGTAACTCTGACGTTCCACAGGATTTTTTCCACAGAATTCTATAATCTGTTTTCATAAAACTTTCTCAGGTTTATTGCCAAGTGGATTTTCAACATATAAGGAATTTACTTTGGTGTGGGTGACAATAAACATAAGAAGAAGAAAACAAATATGAACAGATAAAAAAGGAAGTACTGCAGGTCAGATATCTTCGGTATAAATACATAAATCTAAATACGTATGTGACTGCAGGTTTCTGCAGGTCGTACTGTCCATGCTGTTTGATGTGAACTCAGAACCCGTCAGAAAATCTAATAATATCTCATAATAATTCATTTTATTTGAAGTGGAAGAGACTGAATGTTATTTTAAATGTCTGTGGAGACGTTGTGGCTCTGACCTGACGGAGCATGTGCTTCAACCACCTCCCACCATTAGTAAGATCACTCCTGATTGGCTGACTGAAGCTGTCTGTCAGTTGTGTGTATGTGTATTGATCTCATTGAGTATTTCCTTTGTTAGAGGAGGAGTCAGAGGTGAAAGGTCATGTGTCTTGTTCAAGGACACTTCAACAGAAACAGGTTTTGCAAATATTCCTTAAAATTTCACCCAAAAATCCCAAATTTCCCGCCAGTTTTCCACAGTTTGATGATAAAACTCGACCTTGTGTTCACAGTTAGAGCCACTCTGCTTTAGCTGCAGTTTGTTCAAGGAGATTTCAACAGAAACATTTCCTGTAAATTAGATCCCATAAGGCCTGAATCTTGAGAGTCACTTAAAGAAAGAAACTCCAACATTCATCGTCACAATCAAACTGAGGAACAGAAAAAACAATTTGAAAAGTCATGAGCTGCATGATTTCAATTCACAGTGTCACTGAAGTTTTCTATGATTTAAGTTTATTCTAAAAATACTCTACTACTAGAACGAAGAATATTTGATTGTGTTTTCGATCTGCGGCTTGTTTCTTCTTGCTGCTCGTTTGTGGTCAAATTCTCTGAAAGTTTTTTGGCTGTTTGCTTGTCTCCTCTGTGGCTGCAGTGCACTGAGCTGTCAGGATCACTGTATGTGAGACAATGTGATCAAAATACAAAAACACAAAGGTGCATCCTCTGAGAAGCACGAATATCCGCGATGTGGATGAGTCTTTTTCTGGACCAAACCTGTCCGACAGGCCAACATCGTGTTTCTCACAGGACAAAAAAGGACAAAGATTTTTGGACTCAGCGCCTGGTGCGTGATTCAGTTTGATAAATCAGCAGAACATAAGCTCGATATTTGACCTTGAGGCCTAATTAAACCCTCAGAAACCCCCCCACCCCCCAGTAACTCCTGTGATCAGGTGGCCTGTTGCTGACCCCACACTCTCTCAGCCTGAATTCCTGCCAGAGCCACCTGCTTTCAGCAGATATCAGCTTCACATGAACAGATACCAACAGGCAGTAAAATTAGAAAGCAGGCCGCCTGGCACGCAGAGCTTTGTCCAGAGACGACGAGCCGGTGTTGAGCCGGAGCGGATGGTTTCCATGCTGAGAGAGAAGAAAGTGAGATTGAGACTGAGCGGCGGCTTCGATTTCTCACTCGCGCCTTCAGCAGAATGACGTCCAGCTTTAGATCGTTTGTCTAACGAGGAGTCACTTAATATCGTCTCCTGTCTTTTTAATGAGGAGTGAAGAATCTGAGATCTTAATAAGATTTACAAGACGAAACTTAATAAGACGGGTTTCTAAAACTCTAAGCTTGAAAAGAAATGACAGGATAAAAAACATATAATTTGTTTAAAGATCAGTCTCGATTCCCCGAGTGCTGATCCTGGATCCTCATCCTTCGTTTGTGGGACCCAAAGTGGTTTGAGTCTTTAAATCTCCAGGCTTCTCATAAGACTCATGAACTCACCTCCAACATCGACCCAAACTGATCCCGAACAGATGCAGTTTATTCAAGCTCGAGCTGCTTCCATCCTGATTTAGAAAACACAAACTGGTTCCTGCAGCGCAAACTCCGTCTTCTACATGTTGTGTTCAAGTCAGTGTTGATGTCTCCTGTCTTTAACAAAGACCAACATCTGTCCTGAACCTTAGCTCAGAGCTGTGAGGGAATATTAAGATTGCATTAGCGCTGCGTTCACGTGGTGTCAGAATAATTGGAGCGATGAGTTTCCGACAGGGAAGATTCACCTGAACACGTTCTCCTCATTGTCGAGCAGTAACGTAATCCATGTTCAGTGTGTGTTCATAAAAGACTGTAGGAGGATTTAAAAAGCAGAAAAGGCTGCAGCTTTACTGGGGACCACGATACAGTGTTGGTGGTCTGTCCCTCAAGAGAGGAACTGAGCTGATTCATTCACATGTTTTCAGAGGAGAAGGTCTGCGGTCACTGTTTGTTTATTTGTTTGTTTGTTTGTTTGGCGGCAGTTTAAAGAAAGAAATGTACCGTTGATGAACCTGTTTCTCCTTGTGCAGCTTCCTCAGCAGACATGGAGCGTACCTTCATCGCCGTGAAGCCCGATGGCGTCCAGAGAGGACTGTGTGGTGAGATCATCAAGCGCTTCGAGCATAGAGGCTTCAAGATGGTGGCTGCCAAATTCATGCAGGTAACCATGACGACCTTTTTATTTCTTTGATGTTACAGGACAAACTCTCCTGGATAATGTGACGACTCTACAGCTTTTAATAGCTTCAACTTCCCGCCTGAGATTTTTTTAAATTACTACAATACCCATGAGCCTCGGGCGCAGTTGCTATGGAGAAGGGTTTATTCAGAGGTGTGAATCAGAGCAACAGAGAATTAAAAAGTCAAAACGATGCTCCACAGCTGTTGAGGTCTGTCGGACCTGAACCAGAACCTGACACTGAAGTGAGTCCAGCACAGACCACATCTGGAGCAGCTCCACCCAGGTCCACAGGTCCCACAGCTCAAAGTAGATTACACCCTCAAACAGCTGTGGTCTCAGTCCTCACAGGGACAGAGGGCCACAGAGCTGGCTTCAGACCGGGGGGGTGGCAGCTGTTGAGCTTCAGTGAAGGACTCACACTGGTGTCACTGTCACACACTCAGCGTGGTTATTCTCAGCCGAGGTGTGTGTGAATGACAGTTGGCTTCAGTGTGTGTGTGTGTGTGGATTAATAATCTACACACTGACACCAGAGAGCGACGACGTCTTTCAGTTCAATTGAATAAACTTTATTTGTCCTCAGCAGGTGATTTAGAGTTGTTGTGAATTATAATCGACTATTTAAATATTTAATTTATCTTAATATTTTAACTTGTGTACATACACAAATGTAATATACAATATACATTTTTATTTCCTATGTACACTTATGTAAAAATTACATATGAAACCTGTTACATATATATCTGGCCTATACAGATATATACATTTATGTATGTATGCTTTTACTGTAGACATATGTAACGTAGATATATATCCAACCAGTTAAATATTATATACTATCATATATTATTATATATTACAGGCTGAGACATGTTTAAAATGAATGAGAAATGTCATATATCATGTCTGTGGTTTCAGGCCTCTGAGGACCACATGAAGAACCACTACCTGGACCTCAAGGACATGCCCTTCTACGGTGGACTGTGCAAATACATGTCCGGTGGACCCATCCTCGCCATGGTAACATACACATCCACACACACACACGCACACACACACACACACACACACACAAACACTCAGACATTCATCTCCTCTCTGGCGCTCCTGTCATTCAGATATCTTTCTCTTTATATCTCTTTCCATTTCATCTGCACTCTCTCTCCACCCACCTGTCGTCATTCATGCTCTCTCCACACACACACACACACACACACACACACACACACACACACACACACACTCTCTCTCTCTCCTTGTATGGAGCAGACAGTCGTACACACTGACCGGTCACACGTCCTCAGAGGTGACACAGCTGACCTCCAGCAGGACGCTGATGATAACTGAAGTGATAGAGGAGACTTTCATGTTAACGCCCCCTCAGCTTCTCTTCTGCTTCACTCAGGGATGTTACAACTCATTTAAAAACACTTCAATCCACCTGTTTCATGATCAGCAGATGCAGATGTAATGCAGCTGTGATCGGGAGCCGGTCAGACTTCAGGTAGACTGAGTCTGGATTCATTTGTCGTACAGACTTTAATTCTAGATGAACCCTAACTGCTGCTGTATAAACACATCGGGAACGAACACATAGTGAAACACAGGAGGAAAAATATGTTGAGAAGTCAGAACAAATACTGGAGTTTAATATATCTGGGTATAACTACAGAGTTATAAATCAGATTATTATAATCAGATTGTTACTGTCTCTAAGCAGAGATTTTATCTTCTGTTTGTATAAGACATGGAAGTGTTATATGGACAGTCTCTATTGTTTTGTCCATTTCAGTATTTTAGGTAGGTGTTCCTAAAAAACTGAGCGTACGTCTTGACCAGGTGTGTGAATGTGTGTCTTTGTGTTTCAGGTGTGGGAGGGTCAGAACATTGTGAAGCTGGCCAGGATGATGCTGGGTGAGACCAACCCTGCTGACTCCAAGCCCGGCAGCATCCGTGGAGACCTGTGCATCAACATTGGCAGGTGAGCAAACTGAACACGACCCCAGGTGACCCCACACACACACACACATGTACACACACACATGCGCACACACGCACAACTGTCAAACTGCAGACTGTGTTCTCCAGAAGCTTCTCTGACATCTGCAGAATCAGGAGCCAGTTGCACAAAGCACCTCAAGTTTTCTACTTAAGTTTGACAGTTTAAGTTTATATAAACGTATAGATAGATAGATATACACACACACACGTATACATATAGATATATACATACACGCACACACATATTATCTTCTAATGTTTAGTTATTATAATTGTAATTTTTCCAGACTCTTCTTGATTAGCACTAAAGAGCTTCCATCACAGATGAACTGAAACATGAGGTGGAGTGTACATGTAAAATGTCGTTAATGAGCTCAAACCTCTTGTTTTCTCAGGAACATCATCCACGGCAGCGACACCCTGGAGAACGCCAAGAGAGAGATTGGCCTGTGGTTCAAGGCTGAGGAGTTTGTCTCCTACACTTCTTGCGCCCAGACCTGGCTGTACGAGTAAATCGGCCAATCACCGACCAGTCAACTAGAACCCACCCCAGTCACCCCTACCCGCCCTACAGTCGATCCTCTCACTTCGTTTTCACTGATCAATCCAAAAACATGTAGTGCTTATCAATAAAGTCTCATGTTAACAACAAAAGTCTGAGCGTTTTTATGCCTTACTATACTATGACTTTCTATAACTTACTATACTATGACTTTTTTGCCTTACTATACTATGACTTTTAATGTCTTGCTGTACTATAACTTTCTATACCTTACAGTATTACGACTTTTTGTGCCTTACTATACTATGACTTTTTATACCTTACTATACTATGACTATTTATACCTTACTATATTATGACTTTTTATGCCCTACAATACTATGACTTTTCATACCTTACTATAATACGACTTTCTATACCTTACTATACTATGACTTTCTATGCCTTACTATACTATGACTTTTTATGACTTACTATACTATGACTTTCTATGACTTTTTATGCCTTACTATACTATGACTTTTTTGCCTTACTATAATATGACTTTATATACCTTACTATAATATGCGTTTCTATACCTTACTATACTACGACTTTTTATGCCTTACTATACTATGACTTTTAATGCCTTACTATACTATGACTTTTTATGCCTTACTATACTATGACTTTTTATACCTTACTATACTATGACTTTTTTGCCTTACTACACTATGACTTTCTATGACTAATGCCATACTACACTATGACGTTTTATGCCTTACTATACTATGACTTTTTATGCCTTACTATACTATGACTTTTTTGCCTTACTACACTATGACTTTCTATGACTTTTTATGCCTTACTATACTATGACTTTTTATGCCTTACTATACTATGACTTTATATACCTTACTATAATATGACTTTCTATACCTTTCTATAGTATGACTTCTTATACCTTACTATACTATGACTTTCTATAACTTTTTATGCTTTACTATACTATGACTTTCTATGCCTTACTATACTATGACTTTCTATGCCTTACTATACTATGACTTTCTATGCCTTACTATACTATGACTTTCTATGCCTTACTATACTATGACTTTCTATGCCTTACTATACTATGACTTTCTATGCCTTACTATACTATGACTTTCTATGCCTTACTATACTATGACTTTCTATGCCTTACTATACTATGACTTTCTATGCCTTACTATACTATGACTTTCGATAACTTACTATACTATGACTTTTTTGCCTTACTTTACTATGATTTTTTATGCCTTAATATACTATGACTTTTTATGCCTTACTATACTATGACGTTTTATGCCTTACTATACTATGACGTTTTATGCCTTACTATACTATGACTTTCTATGACTTTTTATGCCTTACTATACTATTACTTTCTATAACTTACTATACTATGACTTTTTATGCCTTACTATACTATGACTTTTTTGCCTTACTACACTATGACTTTCTATGACTTTTTATGCCTTACTATAATATGACTTTCTATACCTTACAATACTATGACTTTTTATACCTTACTATAATATGACTTTCTATACCTTACAATACTATGACTTTTTATACCTTACTATACTATGACTTTCTATACCTTTCTATACTATGACTTCTTATACCTTACTATACTATGACTTTCTATAACTTTTTATGCTTTACTATACTATGACTTTCTATGCCTTACTATACTATGACTTTTGATAACTTACGATACTATGACTTTTTATACCTGACGATACTATGATTTTTAATGCCTTAATATACTACGACTTTTTGTGCTTTACTATACTATGACTTTTTCTGTCTTACTATACTACGACTTTCTATGCCTTACTATACTATGACTTTCTATAACTTACTATACGATGACTTTTTTGCCTTACTATACTATGACTTTCTATAACTTACTGTACGATGACTTTTTTGCCATACTATACTATGACTTTTAATGTCTTACTGTACTATGACTTTTTATACCTTACTATAATGTGACTTTCTATACCTTACTATACTATGATTTTTTATGCCTTACGATACTATGATTTTTTATGCCTTACGATACTATGATTTTTTATGCCTTAATATACTATGACTTTTTATGCCTTACTATACTATGACGTTTTTATAACTTTTTATGCCTTATGATACTATGATGTTTTTATGACTTTTTATACCTTACTATACTATGACGTTTTTATGCCTTACTATACTATGACGTTTTTATGACTTTTTATGTCTTACTATACTATGATGTTTTTATGACTTTTTATGCCTTACTATACTATGACGTTTTTATGACTTTTTATGCCATACTATACTATGATGTTTTTATGACTTTTTATGCCTTACTATACTATGACGTTTTTATGACTTTTTATACCTTACTATACTATGACGTTTTTATAACTTTTTATGCCTTACTATACTATGACGTTTTTATGCCTTTTTATGCCTTACTATACTGTGACGTTTTTATGACTTTTTATGCCTTACTATACTATGACTTTTTATGTCTTACTATACTATGACGTTTTTATGCCTTTTTATGCCTTACTATACTATGACGT